TATGAATACTGGGCTATGAAATAAAGACCGAGACTGGTATAATAAACAACGCAATGGCTGACGTTTAAAAACACGTTGTAAGCTACGCATCTGTTTACGATCGATATCAAACTGATGCTTTGAATTGAACCCTGGGTTAGACGTCCCTTTGACCTTATCAGTCTCTGCCTTCTGGGCGGAGTCTGATGGCCAGGGAAACTCTAGTTCTATGTAGACGTTGAGATCTTGTTCGGACAAGACTCCAGAGGGACAGGGTATGGTGATACCACGTACTACCTCAACCTCAACCAGTTTATCACTCAGTCCAGGATTACTGTGTACTATGGCAAACTTTCTCATCTCCATCGTGAACTTTGGAGCTGTTAAACCCTAAAGACATAGGAGGAGAGGGGAAAGGAGAGAAAGGGAGATTAAAAACAAGACATATGCAATCTTATATTGGACTATGAAAACTATTTGTAATAGATAAACTACAGATGTTGAGAGTTACAACTAGCAGTTAGTAGAGCTAGGCTTCTAATCAGGTGTAATGTTAAATACCATCTGTTGTACAGGTGTTTGTAGTGTAACCACCAGATTTGGTAGTTAAGTTTAAGTAGAGTGTGGACTAAGGAAATGTATGTGTACACTGTACTACCCTCTTTCATCCTCCCTCTCCCCTCTCTTACTTGTTTTCTAATTCCTTTAATAGCCAGTAAGTCTCTCTGACAGGTGTCTGCCATGTTCTTGTATTGAGAGGCAGCTCCAAGGTTACCTAGTTTCTCGTAGACCTTAGCATTCTCTGAGCAAATGTCTTTCTGTTCTTCAAGTTGTTTCTCTATCAAATCAAACGTGTCCTCATCTCCTTCTTTGGCTTTCTCCAAGTGAGAGAGTACACCTTTACTGGCTGTTGCTTTACTTGGATCAGAATAAGGAGAGGGAGGAACCTACACACGTACACATACAATAATGTAAATGAAAGGGCATAATCATAAAATAACACGAAATGGTGTAAATTAATATACCGTAGGGCGCCTTTTTCTTCGAGGGATATAGATTTCACGGATTATACCGTAGGGCGCCTTTTTCTTCGAGGGATATAGATTTCACGGATTTTTATTTTGCAGATTTAATTTTCACAAATTTATGCTGTCTGCCATCTTGTACCGTATCAATTTTATTTTTGTGGAATCAATTTTTGTGAATGCTTAAAAAATCGCAAAATCCACAAAATTTACAGCCCTCGAAAAAAAGCACCCTACGGTATACAATATACAATTTGCATGTACATATACCATATAGCGTAAAAGTACAAGTTATTTATATGTAAAATAATTATACATATTAAATAAAAATAGTAGAACATGGAGTCATTGGATGAGCATTAATTAGAACATCACATATATCTATAGATCTACATCTACCTGTCTTTAGTGAGTCAGGTGTGCCAGTCCATTCTGCAGCTATAAACTTAAATTGTATTCAGTCTAGTCACTCTCATATAAAAAACAGCTCAAAACATAGCCAGCTCATCGATCGACTAGCCCCCAGCCCCACCCAAATCCCAGCCCTCCAGCTCTAGATCTAGCCGAGACTAGCTGACTAGCTTCTGGACTAGCTCTTTCACAATCTCGCAAAGACTTGTATTCTTGATGTAAATCGAGATGTAGCTTTACTAGTTTCTCCTTTAGCTTTAGCAGAAGCACTCAACCTCTCATTGACTGTAAGCTGTGCAATTGTATGCGTACAATACTATATCTACTGTACAT